CTCCAGAGGGTCAGGACAGCCATGGAGATGTACTACTTTCACTGCCCCATCTCCTGAATATTAGCAGATAGAAACACATCACCAGGTAGTGAAAAAGTTCATCTTCTACTTTTAGATTAGCTGCTGATGACACAGTAGCAGATGAAGAGACATTCTTTTTATCAATTGACAGTCCCTCTACTTCAAAATATAATCATTTCATTGTTCTTTGTATTTAGCCCTACTGCTTGGCATAAAAGCCTAGTTAACCTTGTGCTACTGGACATGCTCACACCCTCCCATTGATGTTTTTAATTAGCTTTTCTAATTGTCCAAATTTCCTGACTTAACTCATGAAAACAGGAACGTTTAGCCTACAGAGTTCATGGAAATGAGGAAGTAGCAGAAGAAAAGGGGCTTTCTATGTAGATTCTTTTCTTTGACCATCTCCCTCCTTCCTTTGATGAGATACTTTTATCAGGAGAAAACAAGTGTCGTGGAGATAGCCACAAACTGCACAGCGGTGAAAGCCAGAACTGCATGTCTGGGTCAGCCAGTTTTCTTTCAGCTGTTACATGGAAGACTTCTTCCCAGAAACAAGGAAAATCAGCTTTGTGCTGAGTTTCATGTATTTACCTCAGCACTACAAGGTCACATTGTATTAAATACAGCCTGACTATAAATTAATGTAAAATAATTCCTTCCAGTTTAATGCAGAAAGCTTTATCCTCCAATGTATTTTAATGATGTGACAACACAGCTATGATTGTTAATCTTCTATTGCTGCTTCTACTTCTTTCAATGTTTATTTTACTCCCAATTTTTATGTTGTATTTTATTTTCACTGTTGAATTTGAACAACTGTAAATTGTTTTTCAAGTTTTTTAATGGAAAGCAATATACAACTAAGAGCCACTTTGGTGTAGTGGTTAAGGCATCAGGCTAGAAACCAGGAGACCATGACTTCCAGTCCTGCCTTAGGGACGAAGCCTTCTGGGTGCTCCTGGGCCAGTCACTCTCTCTCAGCCCTAGGAAGGAGGCAAGGGCAGACCACTTTTGAAAAACCTTGCCAAGAAAACTGCAGGGACTAGCCCAGGCAGTTGCCAGGAGTCAACACTGACACGAAGGCATAAATAAAAATATTCAGCTATTTCAGATAGATAGGGAAACTGATCTTGCAGATGTTGCTGAACGTCTCATGCTCACAGCATTCCTCACCCTGGGCCTGCTAGAAGACAGTTTTCTTGAAACTCTGAGCTAATTTCCCCAATCCTGGTTTCATAGGATCCACCCCTATTTTGTACTATCATAAAAACATCATTTTTACCAGTCTCCTGCAGCTTCTGTTACTTAGTACCGTTAGAATTTTATTGTAAACTACCAAGAGACTCTGGTGGTATTCCAAGTTAGATAAAATAATTTAAATTGGGAACATGATACCTGCAGGGATGGAGGTGGCAGCAAATGACAAAATGTGTTACAACACTGGGACATAAACCACAAGATATACATATTTATGTGCCACGTGTAAAAAAGGCCAGAATTTGTGCTGTGATGTCATATTTCATCATTTTCACCAGTTTGTCCTAGACCCATGGTTGGCAGGGTTGCTTTCCAAGTCATGTCCTGGTGTCCCTTCCTTCACCATTCTAGTACATCCTTGCTCACATTGTTAAACATAGTTCAGGGGGAGGCGAACACAGCAATTTTTGTAGTTTTGCAAACTTTTCAACTTCTAAGCCTACTGATGCCTTCTACTTTTTCATGGAAGATGTTCTGACTACATATGGAGCCAGAGAGAGAATAAATTCATTATTATCACTCTGGTGAAGAATATCAGAGTTGCTATTTTTATTGAGTAGAACTACAAAGACTTTGGAGATATGAGGGCACCATCTTGTGGTCAGAATGAGCATGCAACTTATAATTTCAGGGGAAATACATGAAAACTAAAGCTGCTCAGTGAGCATGTAACTGAAGGGAGGGGTTAATGAAGAAACATGCACTTGGTTAATGCAGCTTGGTTTGTGAAGAGTTCTGTGACACTCTTGCTCACCGTATACTGTGATCTAGCTTTTTCCATCCTGCAAATTCGCAAGGCATTAAAAACTTGGCTTTGCCATCAAACATGGGGCCCTGACAGCATGGGGGAGCCGGTTTTTTGGTTATATCGATCGTGTGATGTTGTGGTTCTTGACTATTTATGCTCTTTTATGCGGTGTTATGTTATTTATGTTTTCAATTATTGTTTGTGTTTTTACTGTTTTTGTTTTGCTAGCTGTCCAGAGTCATTTATATGAAATGGACAGCCATATACATTTATTAAATAAATGTATGTTGACTGCCTTCACACATTACATTATGCCATAAAGTGGTGCTGGTTTAAAAAAACTACACAAACCCATCCAATTACAGTTTATTGAGTAAACTATCATGAAGCAAACCATGGCTTAGCACACTGTATAAATGGAGCAATGAATAGGGAAGTTTTTCAGTCAAGACTGAAATTGTGTTAAATTTCTCAAGGAAAACTTATATAGCAATTTATGCATTAGCTAGATTACAGTTGTAATAGCATCTTCATGAAATCTGGAGAGCTTTAACTTCTTTCCTGTGTCTGGAAAAGTTGATTATGTTCTTCAACTTAAAAAATATGAGTGATGTCATTGAAACAGTTGTCACATTAAAAAAAAGTTTCTGAATTGTATGGAAACGGACACCCAAGTGATCAAGAAGCAAAGCCACAATGTGTTTGAACATATGTTTTTGCAATGCCTGAGCTTTTCTGCTGCATTAGCTGATATAATCAGATTTAAAAGACTGTTTTCATTGTTTCACACAGGTGATGGATAGCTCAATGCCTCTGATAGGAGAACATGTGGAAGAAGATAGGCAGCTTATAGCTGATTTGGTGGTCTCCAGGATGACACAGACTTTAATGACTGTGGGATCTTCTCCTTCACCTCTGAGGCCTTGGGTAAGAACAGGAGGCATCTTTCACAGAAATCAATCAAATAACATTTAAATATATGCTGGTATACGACCATAATAAAGATTTGATTTGACATCTAAATACACAGACCTCTTCAATACCTTCTTAATAAAAATGTTACTCTGAATAATATACTATGCTAATTTTTTTTCTTGAGATCCTAACTAGAGCCAGTGCAGACAAGATGTGTAATTCTGTAGTTTTTATATAAGTTATGCCGTAACTGAGGCTGCAATTTAAAGTGGAAAACTGGACAGAGGGGAAAAGGACTTGAAATTCCTTAGTTGTTTTTACAAGAGCATAGACAACTGTGTAGCTACATGTAGTTCTATTTATTCAACAAGTACAGAATATTGTAAATTTGCATATGTAATTTTCCTGTGTCTCTACCAAGTTTTATCTAAAATTTATATATATATAATTAAAAAGATGGAAATGCTGTGTGAAAAACAGCAATGAAAATGGCTGGAAATAGTAATTTCATCTCTTATCTGAATACTTGGTTGATACAAAGCATACTCCTTATAAAGTCTTTGGACAGGTAGCCAAAATCAAATGGAAAATGTGAAGTCCACCCCTCAATGTGGTTAATTCTGAAGGCAGCAGTCACATTAGCCATCCCTTCCAAATAACCTGTCAAAGTCCACCAAGCCAATCAGCTTCTGAATCAAGGCTAGGAAAATGTATTTAAAAGGCACTGAACAACCTAGGGAATGTTCTTGACTTGAAACCCCACATTAATCAATATGTTTTAATTGTTGCACTGTGTTCAATCTCAAATCGGACATAAGTGCCCTTATTTTAGAAACTTAATTATTCACAGCATCAATTGTTCTCCAATTATATATGCTACTTCCAGACCCACAGACACATGCCTGTGCATATCACTTGCTCAGGAACTATAGCAAAAGAGAAATATCATCCTCATGTTGTTTTCTTGGTTTTCTAACTTGTTGCTGTGGAAAGCTGATTGCTAGACCAGGCCTCTGATCTAGCGGGTCTCTTCTTATCCTAAGATCAAAGCTATGGATAAAAACCAACTAAACCTGAGCATTTCTGAATCCCCATTTATTCATTGTAAAAGAACTAAGCATGCACTATTTTTTCTACTGACGTGAAGGACTTTTAAATGTGTTTGGTTTGGCTCAGATCACAGCCTATATGCAAGTTTCTAGACTAAAAAGTTCCAATATATTAAAGAACTGAGCATTACTGTAGAGGAGACTTCTCCCTTTACAGAAGTACCATAGGATTTCCCAGAAAGTACATTATGGCCCACTAGCATGTCATTTACCACTCTGCAGTAGATCTAATTTCTGCAGGTTGTTCAGATCCTTATAAAGGATACCGGTCTGGTCTCGAGATTGCAAGGTTTGCCCTAGGCAGCTTTTGAGATAGTGTATATTACAATTAGTCATGCTTCATTAAGTGAACCTGACTTTGTAAACTAAAGAAGCATTAGAAAAATAAGAGGGTTTTGGTTAATTAAAGGCTGTGCAAAAAAGAAGTCAGCTTTCCCTGTTGTACTGCATGAATCTGCACCTACCTAAATTCTTCCTTCTATTCTGATAAGGAATAAAAGTTCTAGATGTCTTACACATTTTGCTAAGCAACTGATATTACCATAAAGTTATATAATTTGCGCTGCTCATCTACAAAACATCTTCCCCATTTATTCTTGCTACAGTCAAGGATTAACTATAGATAAAAGCTTATGGTATATAAGTTTGAAGTTGCTATGGGCAATTCATAACAGACTCTGTTGGTCCTCTTTGTGATATTCTGATTATACTTTACTATCTTTATTTCAAGCCTCCATCACTGAAATCACAGATGCAGCCACAGTCAGGACCACATCTTGGACAGCTTTCACAACCTCGACCACCGCCTCAAGGTAACTACCTCTACTGTGTAATTTTGAAGCAAAGTTTTAAGAGTGAGGTACTAGCATCATTTGTAAATCTGAGGGTAGAGAAATGTGGCTTTCAACAAAACATGATTTCTGCTGATTTTTTTGAGGGGAATACGGTGACAGGGCAGGGTTAAGCTTAATAAATTACAGCAGTATTTATAGAGAAGGGGAAAAGATTAAGAATATATATTTCTTCTCAGACAGCCCATCCTGAAAAAATATTAGATTTAACATCCAAGGTTAATAAGGAAATAGAAGCAATGCCAACAAAAACTTGAAAAATGTTGAAATATATTTTTGTTTCAGATACACAGCTTGCACACAGATTGAATTTAGATTTTAAAAGCTGAAGAGCAGAATTTAAAATGGAGATTAGGAGAATGTTAGAGAACTGAGACAATAAAGATGTTTTTTAAAAACTTTTGCTAAGATATGGCGAGGATCCACAAACATCTGTGCCAGTGGGTATGTGTGACATGAGACTGTAGCGGGAGTGCTCAAAGGAAATGGCTATCCTGGGAGGCTTGCCATTTACAAAATGGCTGTTAGAGTTGGCACCACAGAAAACACTAATTTGCCAGAAGAAAATTTCTGACCTGCTTCTCTTCCATCCTTTCTAACTCAGTGTATTTGCTATCAGCCCCAGTTAACCTTTTGGAGGTTTCTCCTTCTATAGCTTCTTAGTCTTAAAGAAATTAGCTACATGGGGGGAGCCATACATTCAGCCACCTTTGTGATAAGGTTCCAAAGTTGACCATGAGAAAAAAGAAAGGCACAGAGATAATATATTCATAAGAACAATAGTCATTTTAAAATATTTGAATGCTTTGACATTTCATAGAACTCTTCATCAGCCAAGTTGGTTAATAATCCAAGGAAAAGGAGCAGCCAATCTTCCAGCAAGCTTGTGTCAGTTCATGGTCATAATGCTAATGATGAAGACCACATCTTTTATAAAAACTAATCTTGTTTCACAGACACAGTGTTTGTGTTCCTTTGCTCCAGGTGGCCCATGGCAGCCTCACGGATCACAGCCCATACAGCCAGGAGCCCCACCCCAGCAAAGGCTGTCCCCACAGGGTCAGCAACCTCTGAGCCCTCAGTCCACCTCATCACAGCAGCAAAGGTCACCTGGATCTCCCCAGCAAACTAGATCGTCAGCAGGAAGCTCACCAAGCCAGCCATCAAAATTAGGCATGTTTCCTTCCCAGCAGCCTCGACCTCCAGCACAAGGATGGGCTCCTGGCCAAGGATTCAGTGAACCTTCCAAGCAACACCCTCATCTAAAGTATGTGGCATGTTTTGTGGTGGATAATGCATGCAATTTAAAGTAAGATCAAGCCATTATCAGTGTCTCAAGAACAGAGCAACATCAAAGAAAGTGCAAGATATGTAAGATACTCAGCAATTGAACTATAGCACATAAAGGGTAGACTCCCTTAAACGTAACTTTTGGTATACTGTCAGTCTTACCTAGGGAGAAACATTTTTCAGCTTAACCATGGCAAGCCCTGAAAATAATCTTCAAACCTAACAACAATCTCAGAACTAAGCAAAAGGAAGCTTCTCCTTTTTGCTGGCAATGTCAAAGGTTAAAGGTAAATTCCAGTGATACAGTGGTGCTTAAAGTTTGTGAATTCTGCTTAAATAGGACCTAAAAATTATTTGTTCTTCACACAAGGCTTAAAACTAGATAAAGAGAACCGAATTAAAGAAATGAGCCAAAAACATTATACTTGCTCATTTTTTTATTGAGGAAAACAATCCAAAACTACATATTTATGTATGGCAAAAGTATGCAAACCTTTGCTTTCAGGAATTAATGTGCCCACCTTATTGGTCAGCAATAACTGTTAACTAAACATTTCTGATAGCTGTTGATCTGTCCTACACATCAGCTTGGAGGAATTTTAGCCCATTCCTCCTTACAGAAAAAGAACTTCAACTTGGGAATATTGGTGGGCTTCCTCAAACGAATTGCCTATTTCAGGTCCTTCCACAACATTTCCATAGGATTAAGGTCAGGACTTTGAGCTGGCTATTCCAAAACATCAACTTTCTTCTACTTTAGCCATTCTTTGGTCAGACGGCTTCTGTGCTTTGGATGATTGTCTTGCTGATCCTCTTGGAATAGCAATATCATGGACAGATATCCTGATATTTTCCTGTACAATTTGCTGGTACAATTCAGAATTCATAGTTTCATCAGTGATGGCAAGCCATCCTGGTCTAGGGACAGCAAAGCAGGCCCAGCCATGATACTACCACCATATTTCACAGATGGGATAAGGTTCTTATGCTGGAATGCAGTGTTTGCCTTTTGCGACACGTAACACTTTTCATTCAAGCCGAAAAGTTATATTTTGGTCTCAATCCATCCACAGAACATGCTTCCAAAAGTCTTCTGGCTTATCCATGTGGTCTTCTGCAAACTGGGTAGCAATGTTCTTTTTAGAGGGTAGTGGCTTTCTCCTTGCAACCATACCATGCACACCATTGTTGTTCAGTGTTCTCCTGATGGTGGTCTCATGAACATTGATTCACCAATGCAAGAGAGGCCTTTAGTTCCTTAGACATTACTCTGGGATCTTTTAAGATCTATCAGAATATTACACTCCTTGCTCTTGGTGTCATCTTGGTCAGCCACTCCTGGGGAGGGTAACAATGGGGTTGAATTGCCTCCATTTGTAAACAATCTGCCTTACAGTGGACTGGTAGAGTCCAAACTCTTTGAAAATAGTTTCATAACCATTTTCAGCCTGGTGAGCATCAAAAACTGTATTTCAGAGGTCCTCAGAAATCTGAGCCATGACACACTTCCATGTAACTATGTTGCAAAGATCAGACTTTGATACTGAATAACCAGAATTTTGTTCTTTAAATAAGGCAAGACCTCCCACACTGCACCTGATTATCATCCCATTGATTAAAGCATGTGACTCTAATTTCTCCTTCAAATGAACTGATAATCCTGGAAGTTCACATATTTTGCCACACACAAATATGTAGCCTTAGATCATTTTCCTCAATAAATCAATGAACAAGTACAATGTTTTTTACTCATTTAATCGGGCTCTCTTTATCTAGTTTTTAGGACTTGTAGGGAGAACAGATCACATTTTAGGTCATATTTATGCAGAAATACTGAAAATTCAAAAGGGTTCATAAACTTTTAAGCATCACTGTAGGTGCCTAACAACAGTTCCTAAAGCTTCTAGATTTTATGAAGGAAATAGCCATGTTTTTATCCCTTTTTTTTTCTCCTTTTCAGCAAATCACAATCCTTAACAAACACCTTCAACATCTCAGAATCTTCACAGCGAGGTATTACCAATGAAGATGTGGCAAAAGCTGAAACCATCCGCAACCTGAGGAAGTCATTTGCTAGCCTGTTTTCTGATTAGTATCGCAATCCAACCTTAGAGCAATTTTGGATATTTGAGTCATGTTACCTTGCAAATTCCTCACTCATTTTATATTTCCCTATACAAATTTGTCCTTAAATGTATCAATCATTACAGTTTCTTGTATGGTCTATTCATATGTACAGCAAAGGGGGAAAAAACATAAAAAAAGGAATTGAATCTGCCTCCCTGTGCTCTGGATCTCACTGGCATCCAAATAATATCCATAACTTCTACAGATGCAAACCTATGTCCATGGGCACTTACGTGTACTATCAGGCCTACAGAATGTTGCAGTGCATATAAATGGCTTTGAACCTTTGCTGTGCCATTTACGGCAGATGTGCAGAAGAGAGGCAAGTGAGGTGTGCAGAAGAGAGGCAAAATCAATCCCCTCGATACTCATTTACCTTAACTATTTTTATCTACTAGCATGATTCTTCATACATCTTTTATAATGTCCTATAGGCATCACAGTAAAAATCAGCTTCTAGTTTACTCTGTTTAAAGGCTCACACTTACAAAACCACACCTCTAAAAATGTGTTATCCATGACATCCCTTTGAATCCGGAATCATCTAAATTCAAATTTCCTGAACGTAATTATTCTAACAATCCTTAGCTAGCACACAGTTAAGACGCACAGAAGTTGAACCATTTTACTTTGGTCAGTACACATCCAGGTTTAAATCCATTCTGGTTTCCAGGTGCAGCAATGTATAAAGAGATCAGTTGAAGTTAAAATGCTTTGCTTGCTCTGTTACAATAGTGCAACTTACCTAAGACTCAGTATCAGCTGTGCTATTTCCAAGTAATAAATTAATCTACATTGATGTGAGCCTTTATATTGAATTACCATGTGTTTGGAAAAGAATATACAGATCTTGAACTACACCTACCAGCATGTCAGAATTCATCTTTATAGCAGTATAACATGTATTTCAGAAAAAAAAAAGTGACTGAAGCAAAGAACTTTGAACCACATTGGGACAAGGATTTCACAATGAACTACCTCTCTAGAGATATTTAAGCATCATAAAATTCTTGTTTTGCAAAGGGAAGTAACCACAAGCCAGTTACATATATGCATACAAAAGTGATAAAACTGTTTAGAAAGAAGCCAGCCACCAGGAAGTAGAGCAACTTAATATTTTAGTGCCAGCAAAACAGGAAGTAACAGCACATTCAGGATGAAAAACATGGGAAAAGAATGTGTTTCTTTCCAGCCTCAAGACTTCCCGCTCCCCCATACCAGTGTCCAAATTATGCATTATAACGTTAACATCTTGGCAGCCCAACAAAATCAGGATACAAGTTTAAAAAAAGGAGTTGAGGAAGAAAATAAGAGCCCTGCTGCAAAATTTTAGCAGGACCGTTCTCACTTTAAACTTTAATATGATGGAGTTCCCTTTTATTGCACTATTTATGCAAAACTGATGTAAATGGGACATTGCACTTAACAGAAATGCTGTACATAATTAGAATTTAGAGTAAGCACATCATTTGTTTTTCAAATCAGAAGAGTCAAATTCAAAAAAGCCATACCACCTGCTTTGCTCCTTATTGTTTGCACAGCCAAGGCTCTGGTTATGTTAGCAAGAGAAAAAAAAATTTTTTTTTTCACCCCAAGTTGAAAAACAGAACCTTACCTGTTGCCCTGCCTTTTCCCTAAATCCCGTAAAAGCATTTGGTAGACTGAGCAAAACAAATGCCACCACTGCTTTGAATGTTTAGCAGCTATTCAGAACGAACTGATTATCTGAAGAACAATTCAGCATTTCAAGTAGAGGAAAGATAAGGGGACCTTTCCATTTAAAGTAAGCTGATTTGCATTGTTTGTCAAACCCAGTGCACACTGTGCTGAGCTAAATTTTCATAGTAACTTAGCCTAATTTCTTTAACATTATTGGTATGACCAAACTCTGAATGTGTCATGCAGGATGGCAATATACCTCCAACTGTTTAATGACTTCACAGTTTAAAAGGAAAAGAGACTGGACTACTATAGAACTTGCTAGTGCAATTTCCCATGCACCAGCACATCAGATTAACATAATCCCTAGATCTACTTAATTTCACCTTCAACTCTTCTCAAGGAAGTTTAACCTACCTCAATAAGGACAGAACACTTACATACGAGTCCTTTTTGCACTGGAATATTACATAAATGTTAAATAATTCCTCTCACAACTAGTTACCCTGTTTTGCAAGCAAAGGGCTAATTGCACCAATGTGGTACAGTTGTTGGGACAAAGGTTTTTATCATCGCAATATTCTGAGCAGTATGCATCCTAAGGGGAAATATGCCACCACAGGACAAGTATTAGAAATACAACTATAAAGGACCAATAGTTTGGTAATAAAGCAAAATCACATTTAGACTCAAGCCATTTTAGAACTGATTTATGCATGTTTTGAGTTCTAACAAGGTTGATTATAGCACTTTAGTGTATTATAAATTAGCACTTGAGTATTAACTGTTGGTCACAAATATTGAGTACTTCTGTTAGCAGACATGTCTTTGTAATACTGCACATATAAAGTACTATATATTCTAAACACAAATCACATCTTAAATTTATGTACTTAACATGTGAGCTCATTAATGTAAAACCAAGGAACTTTAGAGTTTGAGCTGTAAGGCATAACAGCCACCTATTTTATTCTCACAATGCAGCATTATGTGCAATCCCTCATCAATTCCAAATTTAGGATGAGACAAAAACTGACATATCAAAATTAGTGCACCTAAACAAATAATGTTTTTGTTCTTGTTGTTAATGAGGCTGAAAATACTATATTGAGAAAAATTCTGAAGAATGGGAAAGATAATACATTTTATCTTAAGTGAGAGTCATTCATTGTTATATTATTTGCGCTCAACCTTTAAGATGTCTTTTAATACGACATATGACTTCTGAGTTGACCGACTAGATGAACATACAACATTGTTTGTTTATCCCTAAGAATCGCACATCTTGTAATTATATATTTAAAAATAACTAGAACTGTTTACCCAATTTAGTTGGCTTAAAACAAAAATGGTAGAAACAGTTATTATGCTTATTAGTTCCATCAACCACACAATGTTTCTTTAAATGTACAGATGGACCTGTCATTTTATTTCACAAAGTACTTAGGGTACATTCTGCAGATATTTACCAGAGAGCAATTGGGATAGAAAGGCAGCAACTTTTTGCCAGAGCTTTCGACATTCTTGGTCACCATTTCTCATCTTCTGGGTTGTACTGTAGCATGTTATTATTCAACTGTTTGTAAGGTGAACAGTTCAATGTCTTATTCTCTCATGTGTAAAAAATAATAATTTTAACTCAGTATTCTTTGTGCTTTGAAATCCCTAATACCAACATTGCTTTTCAAGTAATAAAGAGAAAGAGGGGGAAAAAACCTCTCAATCAGTATAAAGTGTCTGAAGAAGAATCAAATCAGGTATCTTCGCAGCCTGTGCCTTCCACATGTCAGATATTGCATAGAACAGAAAAAGCATTTAGTCAGGCTAATTACTGGGAGAAAAGAACATAGCAGAGATATTTAAATGGCAGATTTAAAAATTAAAACAACCCAGACAAGCATCATTGTATTTTAAAGTGCTTTTTATCTGATGCAACAAAAGCGAACTTCATTTTACTTTCTAAGAAGCAGCCTGCCACTGAAAATGAAAAGAATAGTGTCCCACAATATTCTTGCAAAAAGGATCTCCATTTCCAAGGGAGACAGGACAAATTGTTTGCACTGAATTGTTGGGCCCAAGTTTGTGGAATCAAGATGCTATAGTAGGTATGCATTGCCATAATTTTAAAACAGTAGACATCATAGCTCTGAAGCTGAAGTATACTACAGTTTTAAAGTAAGCCCACAAAGAGAGGTTTAAACTTTATAGGCAAGACTGAAAGAGTTGTCATATGAATGCACGGCGACTATCAATTGGGCGGCTCCGACTGGCTCTTCCTGGGAGTGTTGGATTGGGTTCTTGAAATGACACAAATGGATCAAAATATGGCAAAGTGGGGAATGGATCTAAGTGTGGGGTGAGAGGAAGATACTGACTTGGAAGCTCAGCAGGGCCAGGAAAGAGGGAGCTTATTGGATCACCAATGTAGGGGAGTGCTGGCCTTTCATCAAACTCACCACCAATGATAACAGGGGGATAAAGGGGATTAGGAGAAAAAGGATTGGGATACAGTGGACTGGGATGAAATGGCATGGGGAGGGGAGGAGGGGGCAGAAACATCATGTGCCTCCACTTTAGTGCATCTTTCTTCTGCTTCAGTTTCTTCTTGTACAGCTGTAGAAAAAGGGAAAATAAAGTTTAGCTGTACATTTCAAAGCCTTCATTGTTATAAAAGTTTGGTAGTATATTCCTAAATATTTAGACCTAATACATGAACCAAATGTATTAGCACAACTGTCTCCATGCAGCCAAATGCCTTCTGCAGCTTCATAATTTGAACAGATGCCTTTCAAATTCTTTTATTTCATGCAAATCATATATATAGGATTTCAGACCAGAATTCAGCTGGACTTGGCTTGAAAGAAGCTGTGCAGTCTGGCATCCATTAGAATAATGATTGTTCACATGCTCTTTCAGCACAGTCTTTAAAGAAGAGTTTGCCTCCTGTATCAACTGGAGCTTTCAGTTAGCTGAGAATGTAGCTTGTTCATCTCCTGGCTATTCAGACTGCATATATTCTTCAAAACCAAGAGACAGAGCCTACTGGAAAAAACATATCAAGATACCCACTTACTTCTTTCCAATCTGTGTCTCGAGATCTGGCAACAGGATCTGCATAAACATGTAAGATACAAATCAGCTTGCTACACCAATTCTATAATGCACATAGACAACATATTAGAAAACTTATACTGATCAGGATTGCTCCAAGACAATAACCATCTACTGGACACAATGCCCAAACAGCTTCATAGAGGTATAATCCTTGACAAAGAGCCCTGACAAATTAACCTGCAAAGCTGACAACAAGCCTCTCAATTCAGTTCCATATAATTAGAAAAGTTGTATGAACGTGGTGGCGCAGCGGCTTAATGACGCTGAAAGTTGCCGGCCAGAAATGGTCGACACTTCAGCAGTTCAAGCCCAGCTTTCGCACAGCAGAGTGAGTTCCTGTTTCCTCCCCAGCTCCTGTCAACCCAACAGATCAAAAACTTACATGAGTAGATAAATGGGTACTCTCACCCCGCTGGGAGGAAAAATGCTGGCAGCGCCTTGCAAAAGGAGTCGGGAGCAGTTGCTGGTAGCGCGGAAGCCTCACACGCCTGAAAAAGGCGCGAAGCAACAGAAACCCCGCCTCCCGCGCTCGCCAGCTGGGCTCTGCCCTAGGAAGGAGGCACTGGCAAACCACTTCCAAAAACACCTTGCCTTGAAAACTGCAGGGACGCGTCCAAGCAGTCACCGTAGAGTCAGTAACGACTGAGTGCGTATAAAAAAAAAAAAATGAACAATTACCTCTAAAATCTCGCAAATATATGAATCTCCACAATAACTGATCATTTGAAGCAGCATAAAGATCATGGCAAACAGCAGACAAAGAAATTAATGAGCGAAAGTCCAAGAGCCGGAAGATCCGGAGTTTCAGCTCCAAGGGAAGAACCACCAGGCCAAACACATCTGGTAGATTCAACGCTAAGAGGAGAAGGGGAAGGGGGAGAACAACATCATCACAACATTCCGGCAGTTTAACTTCTTATACATTTCATAATTATAATCAAACACTGCTTGAAACAAAGCAAGTTAATAAGATTCAGCTAAAGAAAAAGCCTATTTCTACACAAAGAGCTTTGGATTTCTCATGCATTTATCAAAGGCATCAAAAAAGACATAGTATTATGAACAAGTATAATGTTTTTGACTCATTTGTTTAATTGGGTTCTCTTTATCTAGTTTTAG